AAATAAGTGGGGTCAAAAGTAACTGAAGCCTATGCTCTCCTTAGAGACTATCTGGATCTACACTGCCATATAATCCAGTTTCTGAATCCAGATTATCTGATGTGGACTGGATTATATAAATCTACACTGCCATATAATCCAGTCCAGATTCAGAAACTGGATCTCCTCTCCTTATTTTACTCTCCTTAGACTAAAATGAATCTTTTCTATTTTTGGACATGTCATAAAACATAACTCATTAGAAAATACAATAAAGTAAAGTAGAAGGCAACAGGAAATGAGGAAGACTTCATTATGGATGGACAATGTGTCACAGCCTTGAATTTATAAGACCTGAGAAAGGCTGTTGGTAGCAGGGTGACTTATAGGTCACTCTTGCATAAGATTGCTATAAGTCAAAGTCATCTTGATTTCAGTAACAACAATGCCTTGCATTTAGAAAGAAGAAAGTTTGCTCCTTTAAAAAGGTAGATGTTTATTTAAATTTAAACCACTACTGTCAGCAACTGTCTTGGTAAATTTTTACTTGATGCTCAAAATAATCAACACAAAAGGGAATCTTTGGTATCTTGCTCATACAGGGACTGTTAACAGTTAATGCTGTATTGAAAGACTGCTGTGCAAGGTAGAGCATCATGAAATGGTTTGTAGGGCAGTTATCTTTAGTGAGACAAGTTGCATAGTTCAGCTCCTCTGTCAGCCCTAACCTTATTCTTGCTAGGATTTTACCATTTTTATGGTAAAAAAACCTCTGCCTCTTGATCCCAAAGTAGACAGTTGAGGCAGAGACAGATTCTTTTGAAACTTGCTAACCCTTTGCCTTGGTGTGATTCTCTGCTATAGAGTTCCAAGGACTATATGAGCTTGTTGGGTCTGGACTCCTCTTTCTCACATTGAGGCCCCCTCCACACAGCTGAATAAAATCCCACATGCTTTGAACTGGAATATATGGCAGTGTGGACTTAGGTAACCCAGTTCAAAGCAGATATTGTAGGTTTTTCTGCATTGATATTCTGGGTTATATGGCTGTGTGGAATGGCCCTGAGTTGGAAACAATGGCCAGTCACAGTTAAATGACATTTCATAAGTCTTCAGTCTTAATAAATCCTGTTTCAAAACAAAATAGTTTCTGTTTTGAAAAATGTATTTTCCTGACCTCTTTATTTGCAAACCATCCTTTCTGCATCATAACATTTGTGCAAAACGTGCAGTCAGGTAAATGTGAGGAGGACAGAGCAAAGAATTGTTTCAAACCACAGACTTTGAAGTTTACTAAAAAGAATACTTACATGTCCGGAATACATACTGGACAGCACAATAAAAGATCTGTTTGTGTGTATAGATGTTACATTTGCTATCCAGTTCCTCTTGGTTGGGTGCATTTGAGTTTTCAACTTAAATTGGACATGACCTCTTAAAATTGTGTAAGTTTTATTTACCATAAAGGATTACTTGAACTTAAATTCTTTCAACAATTACTGTGTTATTTGGGATATATTAAGCCAATTCACTATTCCTTAATTCCAGCAGCAATAAAATAATGAGGTTACTTGTCTTCTATGTTCATTGTCTGCATCTGATTTGAGATCAGCAAGAAAAAAACCATTGATGCTGTCATTAAGGATCATACAGAGTGCTTTCCATTGTAATTGTGTATATTTTTAATCACAAATCTTATATAGATATAGGTAGCACTAATGGAATAACAAGATTTAACTGTAATATTGCTGTGTTTCCAGTAGATGCCCCCAGAGGCCATTCTACCTATAGAGTAGCTGTGTATTTTGAAAATTGATACCTTTGAATTTTGTTGGTTTGCAGAATCATAAATGTTATATAAAATAGTTTTCACATTTTTTGCTTTGTTTTGCTGCTATCTTTCTCTACTGGCTTGAAAAAGTCCTTGTGTTTAGCTTACTTGTTTCTTGTAATTTATTATACACTGCAAAATTCAGACCTAGATTTTCCTGCATCCGAAGAGTAATTGTGGGACATCAAAGACTACAAGTATGTGCATGTTCTCTGCCTAGATCATGTTGCACCACAAAATTTTCATTGGTGAAAAAGAGAGACACTTCCATGCCTTCTCCTTCTTTTTCCAGTAACATTTCATTATTGCCATATTCACACATTACAGATTACTTTTCCCCTGGAACTTCCCCAAGGGTTATTGAAGGCTTCACCTTAATTGCTGGCCAATTCTGGGGAAAAGAGGATAGACTTCTAGCATTTGAGTACTCATCTAGCATGTACTTCATGAAAAATACTTCAGTCCTCGGGAGGCTGCAGATCAGTCTTGCACCAAAACTTCTGGTTAGCAGTGCTCTTTGGTAGCCCCATTTTCTCCAGAACATGGTGTCTTCAATCCTGAAGTGTTAAAACTGTCTAATCCACACTATTGCCTACCATTCATGCAAGTTATACAACCCTCATCTGGTCGAGACTGCAGGTACTCCATAATTTTTCCCTATAAACCATTAGACTTTATGTATTTTGCATGTATCCATATCAAACAGGAAATCTGATAACATGAAATAAACCCAGATATATGAATTTGTTGTGGCTTTGTTTCTACTCTTATTTGGCTACCATTTCCCTGTAAAATTCAATTTAAACTTGTTTTTGTTGTTGCTGATTTATAAATGGAAAAAAATAGAAACTGAAATTGCCCAAAGAGGGAGACATGGGACCAATTGCTCAAGAAATTACTGTTTTTATTTTGGAAAAAGACTGACACATCCCCCCCTCACACACACATCACTGATAGCCTGCACAAACAAAATATATGTGATATAATTATACATTTGTGATACATTATAATACATCTAATTCTGATCTTAGTTTCTTAGGCGAGGAATACAGTTGGCCCTCAGCATCTAAGGTTTGATTCGAGGACCCCCTGTGAATACCAAAATATGCTCAAGTCCTATTATATTGGACTGGCATAATAAAGTGGTTTCCCCTATATAAAGTGGTGAACGGCTCAGATGAGTACTGGAGAGGACAGGAGATATTCCTACACATCAGCATAGTGCTTGATGAACAGCAAAATAAAGGTTTGCTTTTGGAATCCCGCTCCACACCTCTGAATGGTTTTGAGCCATGGTTGGTTGAATTCATAATGCAGAAGCCATGGTTATAGAAGGATGACACATATCAGCTTTTACAATCACACAGCAGAAATCTCTGAACTTGAGAATCCCAATCCATTTACTTGACAGAAAGGAAATACTTGAACTATGCATAATTCAGTTAAAACATTGCTTTTGCATATAGCTTACATTTTAAAACTTATTTATGCCCTTTCTGCTAATTCATATTCTTGAAGAGACTTACAATATATTCCAACAGGTTTTTTTTAACTTCATAGATGGTGATGGAAAAATGGGATGAGAGAAAGGGGAATGAGATAGCCTTGAAGGATATGTCATACAACATGCTAGAATGAGTTTACAAATGTGAAAAGAAAGTCTTCACTTAGACTTCTAGGAAAGAAACATTTATTTTAAAAATCTACTCTGCTTTTTAAAGTATAATTTTCTTATTATTGTTTACTTTTTCTATAGCCCAGAATGTGAGATCTATTGCAATATTATGGCATTCTAAAAATGAATTGCTTGGGGTGCATTTGTTTTATCATTTCTTATAAGGTATATTCTTATACATCTTTGAGAATATATTTAATTTGATGGTTAAAACTTGGTCATGTACATTTACTTTCTTGTTGGGGATAGACCAGGAGAAATGGACCATATCTTATTCTTTATACTATGCAGCATCTACTGGGTTTATGGACTATCTCTGTGGAGCTCTAGAAATGCTATGTGTCATTTGAAACCACATTGTGATTATTTCCATGCTTTCAAAGATGTATTGCTTGTGAATGGTCTTCAGAACCTCTGAAGATACCAGCTACAGATGCAGGCAAAACATCAGGAGATAATGCTACTGGAACATGCCATACAGCCCCCAAAACTCACAATAATCTGGTCTTTAATGTGTATATCTGATACATTCTTCTTAGGGTCCTTCCACACAGGCCTATATCCCAGAATATCGAGGCAGAAAATCCTACAATATCTGCTTTGAACTGGGTTATCTGTCCATACTCAGATAATGTGGGATTTTCTGCCTTAATATTCTGGGATATAGGGCTGTGTGGAAGGGCCCTTAGTGGCTTGGTCCCCATGTAAGCCACCCTGAGTCCCTTCGGAGATGGTGGTAGGATACAAAAATAAAGTTGTTGTTGTTGTTAGTGCAATACATTTCTGCATTATCTCTTATTGAGTGTATTGCTTGGTAGTAATTGTGAATTGTATGTGTTACTAACCTGGACATAGCTGAAGGCATTCATTCATTCATTGTTCAAATGATGCCTCACCTTTCTCCTGCTAAGAGACCCAAGGTATCTTAACAACATATTTTAATTTTTAAGCTAAAATGTATTACTACAAATGGCTAAAAAAAGAATTATGACTTGTATTACAAACACAGAAAAATAAGATGGAAGAGGAGAATAGGTTTAATAAATACTATGACAGACATTTTAAACCAAGCCATCGTAACCTCCAGCAAAATTATTTAACATATACATTGTTTTGACATGCTGTACATGCCTCACTTTTCCCGCTGCTCACTGCTTTTAACAAGCTATGAGTTGTATTCCAGTGAATAAATGCCAACAACATTTGGATTTTCTCCCTTTTTCTTTTTCTGTCTAGGTTAACTGAATTGACCTTCCTGACTGATTTCAATTGTAGAACACTGTTATATTTATAAAGCAGCTCTGATAGAAATTGTACATACTAAAGTGCTTCTGTTCATTTCTTCTGTTCTTTCATGAAGATATGCTGACATTTTAAAAAGAAAAAAGGCAGTGGCAAACAGAATGCTTGTAACCTCTTAATTAATGCTGTATATTGGTATTTCTGTTGCGTTCCTTGATCTCCTTTAGTGAAAGAATATTTAAAGGAGTAAAACTGTCCTTTTAAAATTTCTAGTTATCGGAATTCCTACATGAAGAACACCTGCATAGACATGCTGCGACAGGGCTATCACAAGTCTTTCGCGGAGCTCTTTACTCTGATAGAGAACTGGAATGCCTTGAGGGAGGCTTCAGGGCCTGGGTCAGCCATATGGCTGGAGAAGTCTCTCGGGGAGCAGCCTGATAAGTTGGATCAGCTTCACTTCTTCCTGACCAGGGCAGAGGCAGCCCAACGATCAGGTAAATGGGGAATTCTGGGTAATGGAGCAGCAATGCGTGCCTCAGGGAAGATTCTGAATTGTTTCATATATGAATCTGAAACATTACCGGAACTTAGGATATTTCACCTTTATTCAACTGAACTGTACTCACAGAGGTAGTGGATAGTTTTAAATTATGAGACTTAAAAAACAGACATTAAAGTAACAAAATGAGAATTTGCCGTATATTTATTATGGAACCCACTTGAAATATTTACATTTATGATATCTAATGTTTCAGTTACCACCTTTGCAAGTTTTTCTGGTGTTTATTTCCTTTGAGATATTAACTTTGCTTAATTTGTAAAGAAACTTTCTGTTTTTATCTCATTATTTGTTGAAAATAAGGTTATAACTCCATACAAATCCCTATAAATTCAGGGCCATGCAGATGGTTAATACAATACTTGTTTCTGAAGGTACTTAAAGGTGTGACTCTCTTATTGTGCATTAAATAATGGACCAGTGTAATTCTCCTCTAATTGCAAAAGATTTACTGTTGTTTGTGGTTCTGTGTCCATTCACACATGTTAAAACATGTTAAATTCATTTGTAAATGATGAGAAGTTACATATATAAGACAGGTTGATTAATAGACATCTTATATTTCTGGGGGGAAATACACCAATGGTAACAATTGTACCTGGTTAGTTTGGGAAAAAGCTGATACAAGCAGTCCCAAAGTTACAAACACCTGACTTACAAATGACTCACAGTTGAGAATGGGGTGAGATAAGAGGAAGTGAGAGAAATCTATCCTAGGAAGGGAAATTCACTCCTGGAAGAGTTACCATAGGGAAAAAGGTGTCTCCACTGAAGTTTTCTCACCAACCCTTGTTTCTACAACAAGCCAATTTTTTCAAAATCCAGTGATCACAAGAACAGAAAGTGAGGTGAAATCTTTTGAACAGGGGCATAGCAAAACAAACACCACAGGGTGTTGTTATTCCTTCCTTTTACTATTCAAAGCTAAACTATACACTTAAAAATGAACCTATTCCGACTTGCATACAAATTCAGCTTAAGAACAAACCTACAGAATCTATTTTGGTCATAACTTGGGGACTGCCAGTACACAATTTGCTCTTTGAAAATAAATAGAAATTATTTGAAGGGAAATACATAGTGTAATTCTTGCTGAACTGGTGTAATGAAGTCCAGGATACTCAAAATGAGCGCTGTTGAAGCCCCATAAACTAGTGGTTTAAGATTCTTGGTCAATGTTTCCAAAAAGATTTTCAGATGTTGATGGATTTCAACTTCCAGGATCTCTTATCTTGGCCACTCTCCACTCCCAAGTTTCTAAATCCTGTCCTGGGTCAACTGTATAGAAGGCCAGATTGTTATCCCTAGCTTTAGACACAGTATCAATGGAAACTTGGTAAGTCAACAATTATGTAAGGGCAGTTGGCACAGCAAGTTAAACCACTAAGTTAAAGAAATTGCTCACCGGAAGGTCGTTGGTTCAAATCTGCGGACGGGGTGAGCTCCCATTATTAGCCCCAGCTTCTGCCAAACTAGCAGTTTAAAAACATGCAAATGTAAGTAAATCAATACGTACTGCTTTGGTGGGAAGGTAATGGTGCTCCATGCAATCATTCTGGCCACATGACCTAGGAGGTGTGTATGGACAAAGGTGGCTCTTTGGCTTAGAAATGGAGATGAGCACCCCCCCCGAGTCGGATTTGACTAAACGTAATGCCAAGGAGAAACTTTTACCTTTCATTAATGTATTTTAGTGAGGATTAATAATGGGGTTTGCATCAAAAAGTCTGTACAACTGAAATTAGGCTATACTCCACATTGGAGATAAGTTTAGTGGTGTAGTTATTTTAGTTCAGGGAATTTAGGATTTTTGCTATCTTGAGTTCCGACATACCGTATTTATTCAAGTCTAATTCACCATCGAATCTAATGTGCACTTCATTTTGGAAAAAAGGCATTCATAACCTTTTGGAGAACACATTTTGGAAATCATAACTGTTAGAAAAGCATGACCTTTCAGAGAAGAGCCAAAAACCCTTTAGAGTAGAATCTTCTCTTGTGATATACAATCTTTTTCAAAACTCCTTCAATATGCTTATCTATTATCCTGTTGTTTACTGTTTGCTGTATGTATGTTCTGGTATGCAGCTTCCTTTATTCTATGGTTCCTGAGAAGTTATAAATGAGGCTGCAGGCCACATGATCACTATAGACAGACTGCAGATAGCTGACTACAGACTATTTCAGACCTCAGATCACACACTTGCTTGTTGTTTTGCTGTAAGAGATGTCCTAGTTGGATGGCACAAATAATTATCTTAAACAAATCTGAAACTGGACTGATAAGTTTTGTACCTGTGTATGCTGAACACATGAAGGTTGTGAGTAAACCAAATACATTATTTTTTTTAATCAAAGTATACTTCATTTTGTCTCTTTAGTGAATGAGATAAAACAAGTTGTTTTATGGGAGAGTTTATATTTTTGAGCACTGAAAAACACTTCTGAAGTACTGCTGTTTTTTATGCACTGGCAAAATCTCTGTTTTCCTAACAGATCAGAGATAAGAGGTTATTCAGTCACAACTGAAAACATTGCCTTGCATAATTATACCTGGTTGTATACCACAAGAGAAGATTCTATTATAAAGGGTTTTTGGCTCTACTCTGAAAGGCCGCATATGACTTGGAGGGCCCTCCTCTTGGCAGGAGGACGCTGCGGGTTGCCGCATCCTCCCGCTGAGAGGAGGGTGTGACATGTGTCTGTCCATTCCTGATGTGGAATGAATCCACTTTAATTTCCTTGGTTCAGTGATATGGAATCATGGGCTGTAGTTTTCCAGGGCTTTGAGCCTTCTCTGCCAAAGAGTGCTGATGCCTCATCAAACTACGAATCCTAAGATCGCATAGCATTGAGCCATGACAATTAAATTAGACTTGAGATCCCTCAAATAGAAGCTCCAGGTGTAGTTCCTGAAGTAGCTTCCCCTTTGGTGTTGGCTCAGTATTAAGATTACCATTTGACACAAATCTAATGTTCACCCTATTTTTGATGAGGTCCTTTAGCCAAAAAAAGGTAATCATTAGATTTGAGTAAATAGGGTATTTAATGTTTGAAAGAGTAGACATGCTATTTAAAAACATTCAATAAATATAATCGAAAATACTATTATCTATCCAAACTAGAAAACATACTTGTTCCTTATCTGTCCAAACTAGAAAACTTACTTGTATAGCTCATAGCAGCTGCAGCTTTCCAGAATTTTGGTGCTTGAATGGATATAGAAAATAATGCATGTTCAACTGGAAAATATTTTTGTTAATTATATTGACAAATTTATATTTTGTGCTGGAAAATTCTGCAGTATCACAAAAGAACAGTGGCTGTGGTAGAAGATTATTGTATACAATATTTTCTGGGAGCACCCATTATCCATGGAGATACATCATTTTCATCACAGTTCCTAGTTCTTACTTCTATTTCCTGACAAGCAATTATTGACAGAAAAGAAATTTATACTAAACTATACTAAAATTGGGAAACACATTATAAAATTGCACATTTTTAAAATTTACGAAACTTACTTTTCTACTTTCTAACTAATATGACAAAAATTTACTAATGAACATAGGAAATAAAAATAAACATACCAATACACCAGATGTACATACTAAAATCTTCTTTAGTTTTATGAATGGAGTGGATATTTTATCCTTCCCAAATGTCATCATCCCGAGTCATTGCCAGCAAGCAGCTTCACCCAAAGACTTGCTGGTAATATAACATTTCTGGTCATATAGCTTGGCACCCTGGTATAACATCACCAGCAAACCTCTGAGAGGGAGCTTTTTACTGGTGACAATTCAATTTCATTGATGATGGAGACAGTAGATTAGACCAGATCCAAACCGATCCAACCATCCACAACTCTGAAAATGTGGGCTAGGCATGGGCAATCCATGGTTCTAAATGGTTCTAAAGTACTTACAAAATTAGGAGGCACTGGTTCTTTGCTTCTACAGTGTTGCTAAAGTTCTGGTGGTAAAAATTTCAGAACTCTAAAACTTTCAAAATTTCATTATAAATGGCAGTTCCTAATTGGGTCTGTCATAAAAATTGCCAATAACGAAATAATAATGAAATTTTGTAAGTTTTGTTAGAGTTCTGGAATTTTCGCCAATTTAGCAACACTGTAGAAGCAAAGCGCCAGCACCGCCTTGTTTTGTAAGTGCTTTAGAACTATTTAGAACCATAGATTGCCCATGCCTAGTGGCATCACCTCAGAGCTTCCTGGCAAGTAATTCCTGTGTTCTATTGACATGGATCAACAGCTGGATACTAGGGCTGGGCGGTTTCGTTTCGTTAATTCGTAATTCGTTAAAAATTCGTTATTTTTTTATAACGAAGCGATAACGAACCATTCTGGAGCAACTTAAAAACGAAACGAATTTTTAAATTCGTTTCGTAAATGCTTCGGATTCGTTATGTATTCGTTTCGTTATCGGTTTGAGGTCGTTTCGTTATTATTTCCGCATGTCTGGGGCAAGTTTTATAGTTGTTTTTTGTTTAATTAGTGAAAAAAAAATTATAATATCACACCAACAGTCAACAACAGAGGGAGAGGGAAGCTTCAGAAGTTCCCCCTGTCCCATTTGGAGGTTTTTTAGCGTATTGCGCGGTCGCGTCCGCCATTAACGAATCGATTCGTTATTGTTTCGTATTTGTTTCGTTAATGTTTCGTAATTTTTTTAACATTTACGAAATTTTGTAAATATCGAACTTTTTAAAAGAAAAATTTCGGAATTCTTTTAAATATCAAAACGCAAAAACCCCCAAAAAACGAATCGATTTTAGAAACAAATTTTTCCGTTGTTACCCAGGCCTACTGGATACAGCTGTTCTGCATATCCAGCTGAACACTTTAGCTGTGTAGACGCAATCTCAGAGTCATCAAATACTGTAGTCATCAACTACAACTAGGAATGTGCCAATAAATAGTAATACACTTATTAAATGATACTGTAATATACATAACACAAATACAGATAAGAAAGGGGGGGGGGGTGAAAAAAGCAAAGCATTCCTAATTGAGAGAAAGCAGTACCTACAGAGAGGGTAGCTTTAACCTCTCTTTGCCACTGAATATCAAAGCCATAGTGTTCTGTAAAATTATGCAAATAACTTAGGTAAGTACCCTACAATTCTCAAGAGATGGAAGTGACCTGAGGCTGACTACTGTTACTGTCGCAGTCTTGATTGAATGAACTTTAATGTGACCCTCAAGTGTCTATCCTTCCAGTGAATAAGAATAAGTAGTGCGCAAAGACAACCATTTCAGCATAATTGTCTTGAACACAAACTAGCCAAATAGGCTGGAGTCATAAGGAGAAAGTAGAAATAAGGCAGACTCTTTTAGCAGTTTTAGAATACAAAAGCCTTGAAAATCGCTCTCAGAAAACCAAGAGTTTTTTTTCCTACATACTGAAATTGGTGTATGTTTTGTTTAATCTTAGTTAAATGTTTTTTTCTACTGTATTGAACAATTAGAATATATTACAATAATTTCTTTGAAAAACAAGTTGTTCAGTTATCTGCCCCAAAATAAAGTCACCTTGTTCAGAACTTTTTAAAATGGTATAGAATCATAGAGTTGGAAGAGACCTCGTGGGTCATCCAGTACAACCCCCTGTCAAGAAGCAGGGAAATTGCATTCAAAGCATCCCTGACAGATGGCCATCCAGCCTCTGTTTAAAAGTCTCAAAAGTAAGAATCTCTACCACACTCAGGGGTAGAGAATTCTTTTCCAGCTCTAGTTAGAAAACCTGAAAAGTTTTCTTATGCCTGATTAGGCACTATACTCCTATTTATGCAGGCCAAAATCCCATTGCCTTTTTTTTTTTTTTGCTGCCACATCACATTGTTGGCTCATGCTTAACTTGTCCATGAGGATTCCCAAGATCTTTTTCACACGTACTGCTGTCGAGCCAGGCGTCCCCCATTCTGTATCTTTGCATTTCATTTTTTCTGCCTAAGTCGGATATCTTTCATCTGTCCGTGTTGAACTTTATTTGTTAGTTTTCGTGCATCTCTCTAATCTGTTAAGATCGTTTTGAATTCTGCTCCTTTCTTCTGGAGTATTAGCTATCCCTCCCAGTTTGGTGGGAACTGCAAACTTGATGATCATGCCTTCTAACTATTCATCTAAGTCATTAATGAAAGGTTAGAAGGCATGATCAACATAGTAACTGTACCTCAAACTTTCATTTCCAAACCCTTTACCATCTTGGTTGCACTCTTCTGAACATGCTCCAGCTTCTCAATAACCTTAAATTGTGATGCCCAGTTAAAAGGGCACAGGACACTAGGAAGACCTTGCAAAAGCAGAGTAGAGTGACACTGTTACTTCCCTTGATTTGAACCCTATAGTTCTGTTGATGCACCTTCCAATTGCATTAGCTTTTACATTGCTGTCTCACACTGTTGACTCACAATTGACTTATAGTATACCAAAGAGCCTAGATGCTTTCAATACATGTTGCTGTCGAGACACGTGTTAGGCATCCTATATTTATACATATTATTTTATGTAGTTACCTATTTTCATGTAGAATAACACTGAGTCTAGGATGGAATCATTCTCTCCAGACTATTGGGAAACAATTAGTAAGTAATCTTAGATTTGTATTGTCGAAGACTTTCATGGCCAGAATCACTGGGTTGCTGTGAGTTTTTTGGGCTGCATGGCCATGTTCCAGAAGCATTATCTCCTGACATTTTGCTCACATCTATGGCAGGCATAGATGTGGTCGAAACATCAGGAGAGCATGCTTCTGGAACATGGCCATACAGTCTGGAAAACGCACAACAACCCAATCATAGATTATTTTCATCAACCACCTACAAATCAACATAATAATAACAAGCAGGGCCACATTTTACCAGCTTGTTTGCAGCAGTATTTGGGGAAACATGTCAAAAGCTGCAATATAGTTAAGATACACTACATTTCTAGCAGTCCCTTCATATACCACATTTGTAACTTTTATTAAAAGGGGAGGATGAGAGTCTTGGTATATATATCAATCTGACCAGTCAATAGTTGTCTGCTTCTCTATTTTGCCTCTTTTTGAACAAGGTGTTAATATGTGCCCACCCATGTGTGCAAGGACCTCACTTTTTTCACCGAGGAGTCTCAAAATTAATACGCAGAGCCTCTGAGATACATTTTCAATATCCTTTATTACTATGGAAGCAGTATATTTGGCCCTGGAGACTTGAATTCATTTAAGTGTTCCCAAACCACTTCTTACCTATTTTGGACTGTAGCTCCTTTTAATGTATCATCATGTAACCCTTAAAAGATCTTGAATTCTGAAAGAATGTTGAACACAAAATTCCACAGGTATGATCTCTGATACAAATGTAAATTAATTTATGCGCTGTATCGTATCTTCTGTGGCCTGTAAATTTAATGAAAGAATTGGCTCCCTTTTATTCTTATAGAAATCAGCTAGCCTTCTTCCTTCTTTTGCAGTTAATTGACTGGCCTGTGAACATAAAAAGTCAATATAAAAATAAATAGAACTTGTAGTTCTGGAGCTTAATTTCAAACATAGGAGATATATTGCTCAAAACTTATTTAGAATTGTTTCCTGATCCAAAAGATTGATCCCATGTATTTAGATAGGGTTTGGGGAAGTAGAAGTTGCAGAAACAATGCAAATCTGAATTTATTTTAATAACCAGTAACAGTGAATGTTTTAATGATTGTAGTAATGGGACAAAGACACTCTGCACAAAAATGTGTCTTCTTGAGCAGTCCTTCACATTATGTTCAATATAATGTATCCTGCACTAAAGGAGTAGGGGAGCCATTTTGTATCATCAAGAGTGGTGCCTGGGGGGAACAGGGAATTCAAGTTCTCTTCCCTTTCATTTCTTGAAATGGAAACCATCTCCTCCTCACCCTGGTCAGCCAAGAATGAAGGACTCTTTAAACAAGGTTTTTACCTACTGGCAAAATGACACCAGAGAAGGAGTAGATCAAATCTTCCTTGGGAGAGCTTTCCAAAGTCACAGAGCTCTCTTCCAACCAAAGTCTGTATGTAAGCTGTGTACATGAAAATCAGTCTTATGACTTGTGCCTGGAAGTGGACCAGCAGTCACTGAAGCTATCTTTGCAAGAGAGTTATATGTTCTTTATAACTAGCCCCTTACAGCAATCTAGCCACAGCATTCTGAAGATATTGAAGATTCCAAAGATAGTCCTATCTAGAGTCCGTTATAGTAATCCAACCAGGATACAATGAAGGCAAGTGTTACCATATCCAGATCAAGAAACATACATGGATGGTGCACTAGTTATAATAATGCAAATACAACTTCTGGCTACCACTGAAACCTGGGCAATCAGATTCATAGATTTGTCCAAGAGCATGAACCTGAAATTTCAGTGAGAGTGCAATCCTGTCCTGCACAAACTGGATCTCTGATCCCTGATTTGCTTTCCAACTGACCAGGAGTACCTCTGTCTTGTCTAGATTAAGCTTCAATTTGTTTGTCCTCATCCAATAGATTACTGACAACTGGTACTACCTGGGAGTTTTCTTCTTCATAAACTTTGCTTGATTTATTGCCCAATTTCTACATTTGGTCAGCGTCTTTCAAGAAACAATTGATTGTATCCATGATCTGAGATAATGCATAATACATACTTTGTGTACATATTACAGCATGTTTGTAGTTTTCATTCAACAGACATTCAATATCATCATGTGGCCAGGAAGATGGAAACTCTTTCTTACCCTTTTAACCTCAAAATTGTCATGGAACCTACAAAAAACTACCTCTCCTAATCTGTCAAGTTTCAGGTCATACTGCTGAGCAGTTTTCATTTCTTATTTAAGTGGCAGAATATGATTCATCTGATCCGGCCGTAACATATGGTTATGACTGTATCATATGCCATATGTATGGCTATGGCAGTGTTAGATGTATTCTGAGTGCTGCACAATTGTTGTTCATTCATTCAGTCATTTCTGACTCTTGGACCAGCCCATGCCAGAGCTCCCTGTCGGCCATCATCACCCCAGCTCCTTCAAGGTCAATCCAGTCACTTCAAGGATGCCATCCATCCATCTTGCCCTTGGTCGGCCCCTCTTCCTTTTTCCTTCCATTTTCCCCAGCATAATTGTCTTCTCTAAGCTTTCCTTTCTTCTCATGATGTGCCCAAAGTACTTCATCTTTGCCTCTACTATCCTTCCCTCCAATGAGCAGTCAGGCTTTATTTCCTGAAGTATGAACTTGTTGGATCTTCTCGCAGTCCAAAGCACTCTCAGAACTTTCCTTCAGCACCACAGTTCATAAGCATTTATTGCTGTACAATAAATGGTACTTATTAGTTCTTGCTAAATAAGAAGATCTGATGTTTCTGTTGCCAATATGCAGAAAAAAAGTTCTCACCTTCATGATGGTGACTAACTGTTACAACTGCGTATGCAAATGCTTCAAGGGAGTAGGGTGTTGCTTCCACATAGAATGAAGTTGTGTGTAATAGTCAATGGAGAAAGGAAATGGCCAACTGTGATAATACCGATGTTTCTGCATTTCCATGTTGTATATAAAGTTGCATAAGTGTCTGTGCTTATGTATATATGTGTGTATGAATGCTTATGTAGTTAACCTACAATATAAAGATTGCATAACAACTCATTTTATATAGCTTCAATTAAAAATAAAGTATATTTTATTACTCCTAACATATAATTCTTTCCTTTTCATTAAAGAATATTATGAAGAGATGTATTCTAACCAACTCAGTTTGGCCCATTGCTTCAATAAGCCTGAAGACAGATGGTTAAGGAATTACTTCTATGAACAGTGCTACAAAACTGCTCAGCTGATTAAGATTGATGGTGGGAAGAAAGAAGCAGAAGCACATTCAAATATGGGTCTTCTTTATGAGGAGCAAGGTAGGTTGCTTTCAGGTGGCTTATACGCAGGTAACTTAAATCACTTACATTACTTAAAAAAAAAACAAGGCTGAGAAATCTGTAAGGCAGCAATGAATGTTTTACCCTGCAGAATCTAGTAACATTGTGCAGTTTAGGAGAATCTTGGTTTTCACATGATAAATGAACTTAAGAACTTTAACAGTTTTACAAGGAACAAATATTTTTGCATGTGCTAAGATATGGAATGGCATTGAGCAGGAGTTTGGACAGTTTTTAACAGTTCCTTCCCACACTCAGCATTCTTTCAGGAGACCTGTGCAATCTCACCCAAAGTGATTTAAATGTCTCTTTAGCATTAATGTGTTCTAACTTTCTGTAAGCTTGAGGGATGCTGTCTTGCCTTCCTGTTTGAGTAAGAAACCTCACAGAATCAAAGTCGAAGCTATTGCTTTCATGAAATGATAACGATTTGTTAACCGGTCTTGGGTCTATCTCCACCCAGCCACTAACTTGATTTCCTCACAACCAAGTCCATACTTAAAATTGGAAGGATATCTGATTGTCCCTGAAGCTGCCAGTCATGGATGATTTCTGAGAAGAATAGTTTTTCTTGCACACTGTCTCTGGTATGCCCAACATGTTAATTAGTTATTGGCTAACTTATTATTAGGTGAATTGACTTGAAGTGGCTTGTCCAAGCCTGGATCTCATTGGGACCAACTGCAGACATGTCTTGCATCCAAGATCCCCTTGTGGTTATAAGTCTGACCTAAAATGGCTCCCTTTCTTCAGACAAAGGGGCAGGACAACTTACTGATACAAACCAGGATAGGTTTTCTTAAACTCCACCCTCATTAAAACTAACATAAAAGGGACTACTCTAAAACTGAAGATGAGGCAGCCTAACAAAAAGAACTGGACAGTTCCAGCACAAGACCCTTTTGTTTGTTATTTCAGTTTGTCATTGTACTGGAGGTAATGGGTAAATCTTATTCAAATGTTTTAAAATCTGTTTTCCAAATTCATCTGTGCAGTAATACAGATTAACATTACTTCTGTTAATTTGCATGTTGTTGTCATAAAAATATATTTTGTGCCTTTAAGATTAGGAATTTGTCTGATGTAGAAATTGAATAGCTTGCCTACAGTAATTCCTACAATTATAGTCCAGTTATGTTTTGGAAGCTCAATACAAGATATTATAGAAGATTAATATGTCTCAGTTAATTCCTATTAGAACTTAGGTGAGAATCCATGACAAAGGTGTATACTGTATTTCATCGCATAATAGTGGCACACACACACACTCTCCCCGCTTTTGGGGTTTGACTATTACGCAGTGGCGACTATTATGTTGTGAAAAAAGGTCCCCTTTGAGAGCCCATAGCTGCGCTCTCAAAGTTTACCCCCCTTCCCACCTCTCCCATCCAAGCTACCAAGCCTCTGTAGCGTGGAAGTGATAGGCTGGGACTTCAGTGTTATGACAACATTAGAAGTATGGGTCTACATACTATATAGTCTATAAGATGTTGCTTCTGTTGTCAGTTAAGATTTTGGAGGGATATCAATGCAGGCAGAGGAGAGTCCTCTCATTGGCCTTATGGGAACTGGGGAACAAAGCCATGACATTCAGGCAATAAAATTTCAACTCCATTAGCAACAGGAAAAGTAACTTCTCTTGACGTCTAGGCTGTTTCTGTTCTGTGTGAAACTACCCACTTCTTTCTTAGACAGAGAAAATGGAATTCTTCAAGAAGCCTTTGTACTATTCTATCTTGAAAGATTTTTAGGTACTGTATAGGTGAAATGTGCCAAACATAAGTAGTATCAATAAAAACATTTTAGCTTTGTTTAGGTAGAAACCTAGTTCATTCCCAGTCTCTTGGTTCCCTCTTATTTGGGATTCCCCTGTTGTAATGGGATTTAGCATCCTAAAATCAGGAAAACATATGACTACAGGAATATATGTTGTATATATATATAATTGCATTAGTGGAAGAGGGGAGGTCACTTTTTCTGGATGTTCTCAAAAAGAGCCTGGACAATTTCCTGCTGGCGATACTGTTACCTTGAATGGGGGTGAGGGGCTTGGACCCAAAGATATGTGGAGCTCCTTCCAGCACTATAGTTTCATGATTCTATTGGAGCATAGAGACACACTGTAGAAAAACCCGAAGGTTCTCTGAACCTTGCACTTATTTCATTATCACTTCACTCACGTAACACAATGATTGGGACGGCAGGTGACTTGTCTGCATAACAACCTCTAGTTCCCCATATGTACCTTAGATGAAGTCAGGGCCACTGCTGTACTGTGTTGATTAGCTTTTGAAAATTTTATGTTTTTCTCTGTTATGGCTAGAGAATGTTAGTGGAAGATCTAATGCTTAACAGACTTTGCTGCATTTTTGGGTTTCAACTTGCCTTTCAGACATTAAAAGTGAAGCTGCTTTTAGAAAATAATATACACATTAATATGTTCAAAGGCTCGTGCTGAATATGAATCATTATCCATAGCAACTCACTGCCTATTTAATGCAGCAGAAGACCAAAAAAATTTCCAGCATTTCAGTGGATTAAAATCTATGACACTGGGACAAAAACATTGCATAATAAACTCATAAAATTTCAACCAAGCTTGACGTAAGACTGCATAGGTCACTAGGCACTTGCCAAAAACTGAAAGCGAGCATTGCTCTTCAGTCTGATCTGTCTAAAGTAAATGTAAGGGTGGGGATTGTAATTAGCATTTTATTTTCACAGGAGAGTGAAGCATAGTTAACGAGGATAGAAAAATACTGATTTACTCCAAGGGAGTAATTTGTGGCTAGAGAATCCACAGGATTCCTTCATTATAAAGGGCTTAACAACTAAGGCTTAACTGTTGGAAAGGATTAATGAAATGTGGATTATTGTATTCTGTACAGGTTACTGTTTTTATTGTCTGGCCAATATGATATATAAAACAATGAGATCCATGTATTTTGGCAAGGAGTACATTCTTGAGTAAGTAGTGTCCTTTTATAAAACAACTGAATTTTACAAGTTGTAAATATTGGGTATATAGACTTGACCCATGCACCCTCCATCCGAAAAAAGTTCCAATGTGTCTTGTACATTTTAGAAGTTTTTAGAAGAATCCCAAACTCAATATAACAAAAGAGAAATGCCTTCCATTTATTTATTATAAATATTGGAATATTTATTGTAAATATTGGTATATTCAAAAATGAATGTAAAACTCAAGTAGGATTAAGTCACGATGAGAGCAGATAAAATTCTTACAATATAAATAGCAGTGAGAGCATAGCATAGCATAGCATGCATTATTGTGAGGGTCAAAGTCCACATCTGAACTGGAAGATTTTCACACAACAGTGAAAAGTCATCAATTTTATTATTAGGGAAAAGAATTAACAAGAAGTAACTCATTATTTGTTGGGGAAACATGTGGTAATATCTGACATCTCTATGAATGGATGCACTTAAAAGCTAGTCACAGCTGATAGCAGAGCCGGAATCACTGTGGTGTTGTGTGGTTTCCAGGCTGTATGGCTGTGTTTTAGCAGCATTTTCTCCTGATGTTTCACCTGCATCTGTGACTGGCATCTTCAGAGGATCCTCTGAAGATGCCAGCAACAGAGGCAGGTGAAATGTCAAGAGAAAAGGCTGCTAGAACACGGCCATACAGATCTAATTCCTGTTTGTAGGCCATCCATTCTGTGAGTATGGAATAAACTGTTTCCTGTATAGAATCAACATCAGGGGTTTTTTTTCCATTGTGCTTATTATCTGTTTCATGTAACATTTAGGAATCTAAAATATTTGCCTGTTGAGAGTTGCTACCAAGCATATTACTACTTTATTGTGCAGTGATTGTTTCATTATTCCCATTGCCTTAAAATGTGAAACCATTTTAAGTACTGAAGTTTGATTTGAAATTAATGTGAGAGTTCCTCCCATATGTTAATGTAGAATGTCATTGACTTTGGTGCATTTCCATCCCATTCTGTGGCCAGAGGGAAGTTCCCATAAATCCAGAATGACAAGTCTAAAGAATCAAATTGAAAGACTTATTAGGTAATGCAGTCCACCAAAGTATGACCACAGGATTTTGCTTCTTATACAAAAGATGTAATTTTATTAAAGTAAAATAATATATTGCTATAGATATTGAACTGGCTGTTATTGACTTGGAATTGATTCAACATTGATTATATTTATAACTTTAATTTAAATTAATCATATTTTGATATGTAGAAACAGTTTTATGAATATGGCATAACAAAATGCTATAAGCAACAATCATCATAGGATTCTTACCAACATAAAAATTCATATGTGTGCATAGGTACTGAATTTTAATGACAATTGAATACATTGAAAGGATTTCTTACGAAATATTCATTTACTACTCTAAATAGTCACACCCTCTTAACTGTTCCTACACATGTCTCTTCCTTCTTGACATATTTTGTTAGAGAGATTTTTCACCATCTCAGTTATAACTCAATACTGATTGCTTGTTATCATGATTGATTCATTATTGGTTAAAATGACATTAGATGTACTGTGTTTACATATCATTATGTGCAATGTATGACAAATTAAAATATTCCATAATTTGTAAGCATAGATTGAGTATCCTTTGTCTGAAATACTTTTCAGATACTAGATTTTAGGGCAGGGGATGCTCAACCTGCAAAAATTGATTGATTGGGTTTCAAAAATGGAACTCAAATTTATGATTGATATTAATGTCGTTATAGGGTTGCTGTGAGGTCTGAGCATGCCTGACATAGATGTGGGTGAAACATCAGGAGAGAATCTTCTGGAACATGACCATACAGCCCGGAAAACTCACAGCAACCTAGTGATTCTGGCCATGAAAGCCTTCGACAACACAATGTAGTTATAGTCACATTCCATACAAAAATTTGTCTGAGACCAGTTGCCTGAGTGTGTCTTATTTCCGTGTTTGTATGCCAAGTTTTCTCTCCTGAAGATGCCTCTGTTGA